ATGCTTAAACAAGTTCAAATCATTTCTGGAACTAATAATTCAAAAGTTCATTATGAAAGTTTATCCGGAATAATTTCGATTCACTAACTTATCCGGAAAATTAACTTTATTTATGCTAAATTCTAAAAAGGTAAGGATATTTGTTATCATTAACTTTATACATTGAAAAATAAATTATTTAAGTTTAATTTAAAAGAATAAAAACAATACATTGATGGAAAATATTGTTTGTTTAATAAAATAATCGATCAGATTAATGCATAAGTATATTATAATAGTATTATAATTAACTTAGAAGATAATACATGAAATAAGGATTACCGGTAAATGCGGTAAATTCTAAAAATCGGAAAAATGATGGATTAATAAAAGGGAGAAAGAAAGAGAGAAAGAGAGAGAGAGGAAGTATAGGATTGAAGTGAGGAAAGAGGATTGCAGCAACTTCCTGTAATTATTATTCGATAATGATGATGATGACGATTGCGATAATGATATTTATTCAGCAGTAATTATCTTCACTGAAAACCTGATTTGATCTAATTGACATCTCTGAGATGTGCTGTGATGGCTAAGATTTCTTTTAAACTAACCAAAACAGATGTTGAAAGTTTTAAATAAGCCAAGGAAGAATTACTAATAAATAGTATTAGCTAACAGGTAATTTTAATGAAATAATTAGGCTTTGTTGTCAAATGTCACATTTATATTCGTTGATATTTTTTGAAATTATTTTATAAAATGGAATTGTTAAATTTCATTCTCTTTTCTTATTTCATCAACACAATTTTAAAAATGATTAAAATATCATGCATATCTGATTCCGGAATATGTATGAATAAAATATCTCATTTATTATTTCATTGGATTTAAAATTTTATATTTCTGAAACTATCACTCATTTCCGGTTGTTGTTGTTGTTGTTTTCTGGTCCCCGCACTTTACTATTTCCGGATTGTTCATTGATGACATTAGTATTACCCTTAATGGGACAGTCTTTGGTTACAAGCGCTATTTATAATGGAATGAATTCAACTCACCATTCCGTCCTTTTAAATCAATTCCTAACTCCTATCATTCCATATATTGATATTATTTGAATTAATTGAATATGAAAGAGAGCATCATTAATATACTCAAGAAATCCTCATCTATAATTAATTCGTCGAAATTAAATATCAAATATGCATAATTAGTTTTTGGACTAATTAGAGCAAGAATAACAAATGATTATTTCTAATTGTATTTTATTCAGATCAAATCATAATTATATTCAGTTTCTTTATTCCAACTTCCAATATATGAAAAAGAATTTTGTTACAAATAATTTCCGGAAAAACTGAAAATAGAATTATGAAAACTTAGTATTACAAATATAACAATTTCTATAACAATTGCAATATTTCATTCATTCACTGATTGCTTATCAAAACTATTAATCATATTTATAAACAATTTCGACAAATAATAAACAATGTTATTATTTGATTTGGCATTACCGGAATAATCTTTATGTGCAGAGGATGAGAAATGATAGATAGGATTGCTTCCGGTATTTTCAATGAATCCGGAAGAATAAACGTTACAAGTTAAAAAATTATCTACCACAAGCATTAAACAATTAATTGCTTTGTACAAAGCTTTTTGTTGGGTCAAATTTAGGAAACTGGAAATGCTTTGTATTTTTTTTTCGTTTTTCTTTTCCATAGAAAATTTTTAAGTGAAAATTCTCAGCTCATTATCATATCTTTCTTTCCTTCACATTTTTCTTCATCTTTCAATTTTCACTTCCATACACATTCATTTGTATGTTATAATAAAACATGGATGAATAAGAAATCATTTTTAATTTAATCAATTTATTATATTTCCGACCAACGTATTTTAAATGAATTTATTTGAAATTTCAAAATGCAAATTTGCAAATTTTGATAAGAATTACATATAAAATGAATTAAAATGCAAGGAATAAATCATTATTTATTTATATCAATCAGATTATGTCTAATACAGGAGGAAGAAGTACTAGCAGTATATCAAGTAGTAGTCATCGGAATACTGAAAGTTCATTACTTGGACGATTGTTCCATTTCAATTATCGGCGATCCAGGAATGATTCTATAACGTATCTACTCTTACATATATACCGTAATCATTAGTCATTAGATAGATTAGTTAAGCTTAAGGTATAATAATGTACATTTCACAGTCTTTTTATCAATGTCTTAGACAATTAGACAATTGTCTCAAAATGTTAATTTTGATTTAAATGCTTGAATGAAATTTTGATAATTATTTAAATATGATAAGTATGCCATTTTTGGCGAAGGAATTTGAAAAATAAATAGAAGATTTATAATTTAAATGTCGGGAAATGGATGATGATAATATTAAGCAACATATGCAAATTCAAGTAAGCATAGCAGCTTCCATAGGTCAAGGGTCAAAGATATTTGTTGATGTATAAAATGGTAATGATTGGTTGATGTTGTTTTCATCATTAGAATATAAATACCAGAAGCAAAAAAGAGTTCGTTATCAAATCCATATTAATTTTCTGAAAATCTGTTTAAAAGTTTAATCTTTTAAAAGTTTAATTTTGAGTGAAATAAAAGTTTAAGTGAAAGTTTAAGTATTTAAACCATAAAAGTTTAAGTGAAATAATGAATCAGACGACTTTCTCGTTTAATTTAAATTGTTAAATTTTCATTTTCCTGTAGAGGAAGTGATGTAAAATCGCAATCATCACGAGGGACATCAACGTCATCACCAGATAATGTCGCGGTACAAGCTACCGACATCACTGGCACTATCCTGCGATCTGGCTATCTGGCCAAGAGGATTTGGCGTTTTGCTCGCTCGACCAGTTATTTCGTTCTCCGTGATAATGGCAAATTCTATTTTTATAAAAGTAAAACAATTGCTGAAAATCCTCAGAAATACAAAGGTTTCACCAATGTTAAGGTTTGCTTTCCTTTGCTAATATTGCTCCTTTTAATTAAGAAAAAAAAGGTCCTTTTAGTAAATAGGAATCTACAAGAAGAAAGAGACTTGGACTGGACCAATTTTGCATTTACAAGACTCATTTTGAAAGGCCAATATAGAAATTATAAAATGCATTCCAATATGATTATGAAAACAGCATGAATAAGTATAAATGAATAACGGATAAGACTACTAATAATCATTCTTTCTGTTATCGATAAGTATTCCTTCTATTACTGATAATAGGAAATGCTTTAAGGATATTTACATAGTACCACGAGGATCGAAAGGATTTGTAATTTATACAAAAAAGAGTGTTTGGTATTTAAAAGCGAGAACAAGTCAAGATCGTGATGATTGGGTTGAAAAACTTAAATCTACAAGGTTTCCTAAATGTTTACTTATAATTGATTACTTTACTTTCTTTAGTTTTATTCTTTAAAAGCATCAATAAAATAATCAATAAATAAATGAAAATAATCTCGAAAAACAATACATTCGGCTATTTCTAATCCAATATCATATTGTAGCCAAAATGACCTTAATTGAAATGACCAACGGATCTATTTGAATTATCCGGTCTTGATAATGGATAATATGTTGTAGAGCATACTTACGAATGAAAGATGAGGAAGAATTGAAACGAATTTTGAATGTCCCATCAAGTCAATGGGAAAAGTTAAGTACGTCGAAAATAATCATTGACATGGATGAATCTCTTCAAATAGCATTTAAAAATTTACGTGAGGTAAGTAGCACACTTTAATATGACAATATCCCGGTCACGGTCTGGCCGTATTCTTTCAGTCAATTAACGGATAGATTATGTAAATTAATGGTTCTCAAGTATTGTTTGTAAGGGCGGTGACGCAATGAGTTAAAAAAAAAAAAAAACAGGCGGAGAGTGTTCATAATCAGTGTTTGATAAACTAATACGTTAAAAGTTGTGATTAAAGTTTATTTTTAAATTGATAGAATTTATTATTGTGAAATCTTGCAGTTCCTGCTATAAAGAAAAAAGGCCAAAATGGTTCTTAAATCAAGAAAATATTGGGAATCACTAGAATAGAAGAACTATTACTGCTATAATGTATTACGAGTAGAGTCCTAAAAGAAACAAAAAACTTTTTAATTCAATTCCAATTTGATTAAACTCCTAATTTATTTCCAACTTCAAATGGCTTTAAAAAAGGTGGTTAAAAAAACAACTTAAAAAGGTTATTATTTTCAATTTAAAATGGCTTGACCTATAACACATGACTCATAACTCAAACTATCAATTGTCACACTTCAATTAAGTTTCATTTCGGTCAAATATGTTCTTTGAGGTTAAGTTTAATCTTTTGAGGTTAAAAAAAAACGTGATTTTGAAACATATATCACTTATTTTTAATTGTATTCCACAGTAAAAAATTACTTTCTTTTTTTTTAAGCTCGAAGTAAAATTAAATGATTTTCGACATTCTCTTCCAAATGGTAAACAACTGGATAAAGCTCAATTAGCTGATCTTGATGACACATCACATAAGGTCATAACTGGTATTCAAAATAGTTTGGGAGCAGTTGAAAGGTATGAATTACGCAAAATCTATGTTGTATAAATTTAAGATATAAAATTTCATGGGATTTTTTTTTTGTCGTATGATCACAGTATTAAATTATCATATAATGTTGACAGAATAGAATTAACAGTGACATAAACAATGTCACTATTAAATCTTTGAATGGAAATGAAATCATAAATAATAGTAAAACTAGATCGAAATATTAAAGTAAATTGATTATTTATTACCATACTTCTTTCAACATTTCAATTATTTATAGGTAATCTTAATTGAATCACTTGATAATAATTTACTCATCAATTAATTAATACTTATTCTAATGTGTTCATTTTCCAGGTATTTTGCGGAATCAAAATCTTTACAGAATGAAATGAAACGTATGATAAATGATTTAAATTACGAATCTCAACAACGTTCAAATTTATTACGCCAAATAGAGCTACAAGCAAAGCAATTAAATTGCATTGAAAAAGAGGTTTAATATATTTTCATATTTAAATATTTCAATTTAAATATTTCCAATTAATTAATACCTGTCGTTATCATTTGAAAAGTGATTAAAAAACATAATATTTTTATTATTGAACATTTTACATTATGTTACAATCATTTCATTACTTTTACTATTATTCTTTCTTAATATCCATACAGTATACAATCGTTTCTTTAGTCTGTACGATTAAAATCAAAATTTACATCAGAAGAACTTTCAAAATTTGATGATCTAATTTTGGCTCCTGAAAGTGAAAGTGAAAGAGAAGTGTAATTTTTTAATATTTTAATTAGTTAATTGAAGTTTAATATTAGTTGAAAAAAAATGATTTGACACATTTTCGTGGTATTATTAGATAATTTGTAAATTTTAAATTTTACAACTATACATTTTCTATAAAATCAAATTAGTTCCAAAAAAAAAGAAAAAATGCAAATGTTTGAATTTACAGAACAGGAACAAGTAGTTGGCAAGAAGTTAATTTAAATGAAACCGGAATAAGCGGATCCTCGATAAGAGAGCAAACAATCTCTGCGGTATATTGCAAAACAATATTGTCACTTTATTCCATACTAATATATTTGCTCATTTTAGGATTGAAAGGATTATCGAACTAATTAATTTAATTACTAGAAATTTCCATCCCAGAAAATTCATCCTTTTAGCGTTCACTGAAACTTTATTTTCAATGTTAATCCTATTATTTAATGCAATGTTGTTTTAGATTAAAGAAAAGACTGCTACACCCGCGGTTTCGATGGTTCTAAGGTTTTGTATTTAATCTTTTTTTAACATGAAAAAATGAAATCAAATCATAATGCATAAAAATTATCAGAATTTTTTTCTTAAAAAAAAAAGAAATCTGAGAATTTCTGGAAGTTTACAATTTATCTTAGTCTAATTACAATCGTTTTGTTTTCAATTAGGAAATACTGACTTAAAAAACAATTAACATTTTTAAAGTTCCATTGAACAAAAAAAAAACTATTTTTTCCTATTTCTCATCGATTCTGTTTTTAATTTATAGTAAAAGTGAAGGAAAACTGATAAAATCACACAAACCACTTATCACTTCACCAGTGGTACTCATTAAGCAAGAAACAATTACTGTAAACCAAAGGTAAGTTTTGGGAATTTTTTGCTTTTTAACATTTTTGAAAATTCTACATATGAAAAGGTTTAAGTTAAGAGTAAGTTAAAGTTAACGATGAAAATATCAACTATGAAGGATAAGATTGAAGAAATCTAAAACAGTAAAATAGTGAAGAAATAAAAGCTGTTATTGTGATTTCAAAATTTTAAAATTATCTTTTTTTTTTTTGCAGCGCAAAGCAACGAAAAAGACGCACTCAGATACCGTACCGGAAAAAAGCAGGTATTATCCTCGTCTATCTAAAACATTAGTAAGGAATCAATCTGTAAGGTGAGCAGAAATCATGAAATATAATTTTGGTCAGGAATGTCACTATGGTCACTTTTGAAAAATGCATTGGGCAAGGAACTGTATAAAATACCGTTACCAGTAAATTTCAATGAACCAATAAGTTTTATACAACGTCTCACTGAATGCTTGGAATATTCACATTTGATTGATAAAGCTGCAAAAAGCGAAGATCCGGCAGATCAGGTATATATAATTACGGATTACGGTATATGGCATAACTTTACGATTAGCGGGGTTAATAGTTTTTGAATTTCACACTTCAGCACCACAAAAAAGGCAAAAAAAACAATGAGCAATTTTCAAAAAAAATTTCAAGAAAATGCTTTGAAGTTTTCTTTGATGTAATTTCGAAATGTTTCCGGAATTTTCAACAAAATAAATTTGAATAAATATTAGTAGTACAGTATTTGTCCAGTATAAAAATTGGTATAAATTAAAATAGATGAAACTATTTAACATAAAATTTCTAATTCTGTAAAGAACTGAAAAATGTTTGTACCTTCACTTTGATCATTCCGATTCCGAAAGCTATGATTTAATTATGATAAAAATATATTAGCATTAAATTTGTGAATGTTCAGATGATCTATGTTGCAACATTTGTTATTTCAACACTTTCCAATACACCATTCCGGACATGCAAACCTTTTAATCCGTTATGGTGTGAAACATTTGAATTCGATCGAATGGATGATCTCGGATGGCGAGCGATCGCAGAACAGGTCTGAATTTAAATCTCATTTCAAACATTTTTCTACAAAGAATTAAATTATTCAAATTAAAAACGGAAAAAATGCAGTACTTTCCGATATGATACTTTACATCAAATCAGTACAATTTACTATTATTACGTTAGATTTGTTGACTTTTCTGAAAAAAAGTTTTACCTTTTCGTCAATTTGACATTTCTTTCTTTTTCTTTTTTTTTTTTTTCTGGATTGCAGTAGTACTGCTTTACATTAGAAGATGTCTACAAGTATAGGAATTTACTCGACCTTTTGCTCGACCTTTGCTATTACCTTAACTCTATTATCTTCATAATCAACTATATAATCACTGTTATCAACAATTTTCCTCCCAATAACTCTCTTATCACTTAAGCTTAAAGTTTAAGAAAGAATCTCATATACAAACTTTTTGTCTAAAATATGAATCACGCCTTATCTTCATGCATAATATTGTATTTCACCATTATTTTATCTTAATATGTGACACTGTGACTTTCTCCTTGATGTCACCACAATAAATTCAACCTTTGCTTATCTTTAACTTCTTTTCTACTTTGCTTTCATCATTAATTAAATGGACAATATATTTTGCATATTAAATTTTTAATCTTACAGTATGATTTACTCCTTCTATTTATCCCCGGCACTTTTTTTTTTCCAAAAAAAAAAAAAGAAATCTCATTTTATATTATTAAATTTACTATTGAATTCGACTGATAAGTTTAAAAATGTAGGTGAGTCATCATCCACCAATTAGTGCAATTCATGCGGAAGGAAATGGTTGGATTCTTGATGAAGATATAGATGTGCATTCTCAATTTCAAGCAACAATTATGAAAATTTTTCCGGAGGGTATAGCTAGCATTTTCTTCCCGGTAAGAATTCAGAATGCTTTTTTATTTTCCGGATCCCGAATGTCAGTTTTTAAAAGAGATCTTTCAATTCTCATGTATTAATAGATTTCCTACACTCCTCAAATTCTTCAGGAAACAAAATCATTCTATTATTGGACAATGAAAGATATTAAAACGTTTGTCAAAGGTTTTATTATTGGTCCAATAACAGTACATAATGAAGGAAATTGCATTATTATGGTATATTCAAGATAAGATATTGATCTGAACCATTTATGGTGGACTGTTTAAGATAGTACTTAAGTAACTTTTGTTTGACCCTTGAATTTCTGGAATTGTAGGGTCACTGCCACCAGTGACCTTTGTTGTGGAATAGTATGGACATCTAAGGCTTATAAAAGCTCTTCAGAAATTGGCAATTTTAGCCTTTTTTTAGCATATGGTATTAATAAAGGATTATGAGAAAATAGAAAAAGTGATGAATTATTTGGAAAAAATTGTTATTGCAGAATCAACCGGATGGCATCAATTGCGTATTTAACCTTACTCGACACAAATTTTTCTCATCTGATAACGAACGAACTTTTACCGGAAAAATATGTGACAAATTCGGAAAAGAATTATATAGTTTAACCGGTGACTGGAGCCAGAAATGTATTGTAGTAAATGGAAATGACAAATTTAAGATAACTATTTGATTTTATTTGTTACAAATTTTTTAAGAAAGAAATGAGTGATAAAATTTCAATTTAATCATTGATTGAGTTTTTGGATGTTAAAATTGAAATTAAATGTTTAAAGTTTTCGATGAGAAGAATTGTTACTTTTAATTTAGAAATGATTTAATTAATTTTAACACATATTACATTTCCTCAAAAGAAAATATACTTCATTCTTTTGTTTTTCATAATTCTTTTGATAAGTTTCTTGTTTGCAAGCATTAAGCAATACCAACTAGTCATGAACTTTCTTTTTTTTTTCAGGAAGGTCAAGTTATTTGGACAAGAAATGCCCAACCCAATGAATCAGAATTGATGTACAATTATACAACTTTAGCCATAGAACTTAATGAACCAGAGGTCAGTTATGGAATTCAAACTAAAGAAATTAGCTTTAAAATTTGACGAAAGGCTAAAAATGATCGTGTTTGTTCAAGGCTAATATTTTGAGTTAAAAAAATGACAATGTTTATTCAAGGCTAATATTTTGAGCTAAAAAAATGACAATGTTTATTCAAGGCTAATATTTTGAGCTAAAAAATGACAATGTTTATTTAAGGCTAATCTTTTGAGCTGTGAAATTCTAACAAAATTTGTAGGATTTTTTTTTTTCAAAAATTATTTAATGATATGAAGATCTGATTAATAAAACTTAACTTGATTGATGAAAATGAAACGAAATAAATTTCAATATACTAATGAAATTGAAAAGTTGTATCATGAAATGTTTTAATTTCATTCGGAAGAAAACATTTCAGGAAAATGTAGCGCCAACCGATTCTCGACTTAGACCGGACATGCGCATGATGGAGAATGGCGACTGGGATGCGGCAAATCAAGAAAAAGGACGTTTAGAAGAAAAACAACGGATTGATACCAAAAAATATCAGGTTTTCAGGAAATTGATAACAAAAAATATCAGATTTTCAGGGTTTTCATAAATTTTTGTAATTTTGAATACAATCTATACGCTTAAAAGAAATGCATGAATGTTTTCTAGCCTAATTTCGGGATTATCCAGAAATTTCAGGATATGCTAGAGAATGGACAGAAAATAGTTGAGCGGCCAATATGGTTCAAGAAATGTTTTGATCGTAGTTGTGGTACATCACGTTACATTTATCAAGGCCAATATTGGAAATGTAAAGAAAAGAAAGACTGGTCCCGTTCTCCAAATATATTCGGTTGAACAAAAGTGATTATCAGTTTTCGTGCTTTGTTTTAATTTTTATTTAAACAATCAAAAAAATAAAATAAATATACATTGACTGATAAATGTCCTCTAATTTTATTAAAAATGATCAAATTATAACACTGTTTATCAGTTCGTAATCAGTACTATTAACAGTTTATTTTTCGGAAATAGCTTCAATAAGATAGGAAATGTCTTCCCAGTTTCTTATGGATAATGTAACTCCTAAGCTGAATAAATCATCAGAAAAACATTGATACTATAAGTCTTCTTCAAAAGGCGACATTCAATAGTCATTTGTCATGTCACTCAAAAATACGTGACATTAATTAGTCATGCACATTTGAAACTTGTAATGAATTTTAAATGGAATATATCAATAATAATATCAGAGTGAGACCGAAATAATTCCCTTCCCACTCCAATTGCTCGTTTTATTTCATTTAAACTTTTTTTTCTTTCATTGTAATCATAGTTTCAGCATTAGTCATTACGTATCGGATTCATTTTTCAACAACTATTAATTCTTATTTTAATTTACATGAAAGCAAAATTTTCTGAACAAAGTTCAAAGTTCAGAGTTCAAATACTTTTTGTATTTACAATTTCTAACCATAAATTTTATTGATGTTAATAAATTATCTGAAAAAGGTCGACGATCAATTGTCAAATCATTTTTCCTAATTTATCTGCTAATAAACTACAAGATGACACGGTAATAGGATACTTTCGAGAATGAAAAGTATATCTCTGTTTGACTACGCACCGACCGATGCTTCCCTTCATATATCAGTTTTCTGGCCAAATTTGATTGTGACGGATTTATGGATCATGGCAGATATTCTCATTTACATAGCAGATATTTTTGTTCACAAATGCTTATTGTTTCAGGTGTGATGCGTGTAACTTTGGACAACAACCGGTTAAATTGAATCTCAAATTCGAATTCTTTTCCTATTTTAATCCGTCTCTCTAATATTATGCCGTACGTGTACAGAAATTCACACACG